ACTAACTGTAAAAGGACAATATGAATAAAGAAAGACAAATCAAAAATTTATCTTAGCCGACGTGTTTCATGCACTGATAGATTTTATCAAGTTTTCTTTTTGTCATATGGCGTGGCGACTGCGTTTAAGCATGAAACAGACTGTCGCCGCTGGGTATTGACCTCAATGTCCATTTTTATATTCACATAAGCTCTATCCCTGATATTGAGCACTTTAACACATAAATATAGCATACCTTTAAACTATATATATTTATATATGTATATAAATAAAAAGAAAGAACAGTAAGATATATAATCCGGTGTTCTTATATGTATTTTTATTTTTACAAAATAGTGCTCGATGTAAATTTACAGAGCATTAATATTATAAATTAATTGATTTAAAATATGTTTTTTTTCGCTACACAGTTCTAACCATGTTTCAAAAATTTTGAAAAATTTTTGAAATATATATATATATATATATATATATATATATATATATATATATATATATATATATCATACATTTTTTAATAAATTTTAAAAATAACTTTTAAAACAATAAAAAGTTGCCGAGGGAATAATGATGTCAAGAGAGGAAAAAAAAAGAATTCTTTTTTTTTACATACTATTTCGTTTTTTTTTTCTAGTAACCTGTTAGTAACGTCTGTTAAAATTTACTGAACTCTTTTCTTTGGCATTTTCATATTTTTTAAAATTTATATATTGAAAATTTCCCGAGAGAGAACATAAACATAAAATAAAGTCCCGATGCTTTCCTTTCAAATTTCACTTTTCACTTCTTCACTCGTTCTAAATCCGTCTTGTGCACGATAAACCGCATCAACACATGTTAACTTTAATACTTTTAAGCTGACTTTACGAAACCTTTTTTTTTTCACTCTTTTATAACGAGGCTGTATTTTGTCTTTATTATTATCATATGGACCAAACAAAATTGCGTATTGTAAATTTTACCGCGCTAAACAATTTTCGCATAGTAAATACCGAATTATCTCCCTTACACTTCATTTCAAATCCAAAAGAGGATTGAGTGACTATCGTGCGAATTTTTATAAGAACGGTAATATCACAAATAGCCACAATTTTAATTATTTCATCCCAAGCATGGCAACAATGCCCCTAAGACGCAGGAGTGAAATAATATGTGAAAAAGAAAAACATTATTAAAGATCGAGAATAATAAAATAACAAAACAAGAATTAAAAAGACAGAAGATTATTATTATTAACATTGCATTTTTTTTTTACACTTACAGTCTTGAAGATCAAACTTGACTGAAACATGGAGCCAACCGTGAGTTCCACAAGCGAGAAAGGCGAGAGGAGAATCTGTTAGCATAGAACTTACGGTTACATCTAGCCATTTTAGCTGTATGATGAGATCTTGCTGGGCTTAAAAATCGAGGTAACATCCGAACAATTACCACGAAAGTATCTATAGAAAACTAAAAGGCAGTGGGGAAGTGACTGAAAGTGAAAAATATTTTAAAATAAAATTTAAAAGTAATCTTTACTTAATTTTCGATACCACATTTTTATAAAATTTATTTTTCTTTATTTCTAGATAGAATCTCAGCATTTTGTTTTATTTCTATTTTTCTAAATGTAAATCTTAATCAACTACTCAAACATTTCGATTGGATTCGAAAGAAACGCCGTCAGATTTCTTCCTGTGGATGGTTCGGCGGTTGGGTAATAGCAAGTTTGTCACTATGTCTATGACTGCTGATTAGTGAGATCGATTCTCCCTGGGTACCCACTACTAATGACCTTGTGTCCAAACTAGGTTAAGCTGCCATATTTAAGCTGACCAATCCTCACTTTCAAGTTTTGACAAAGTTTAAAAATCAAAATCATTCACATGAGGGAATGATTTATTTTTCCCATAGCACGACTGTCGTTACTCTATCGCCATTTTCATGACAACTGTTCTGATGGGCTCCAATCTTTACCAGTTCAGACCTTAACAACCAAAAACCTGCCATGATATATCCACAGATTTGAATCGTTCTCATTTCTTTTGCAGTTTCTTCTCGATAATTTCTATTTTATGAAATAGGCATATTTCGCTATTTGTTTAACTTCAGAATTTTTTTATGAAGCAAAATGTTAAATTTATAAAGGTTAAAGATCTCTCTTTATTACATTCCCACATCTCTCTCTCTCTCTCTCTCTCTATATATATATATATATATATATATATATATATATATATATTTGCGTTGATGTGAGTTTGTGATCCTGGGTTTCACGCTTTTTGCAATCATCTGACGATTGCCCTGACGATAGCAAAGGGCGTGAAACCCAGGGTGACAAACTCACATCAACGCAACTAAATATGTTAGCTCTATCACTGATATTGAGCGCTTTCCAATAAGTACCCGACATATATAATATAAAAATAATATGTATAAAAATTGCATATATATATATATATATATATATATATATAAGGGTGAATATTATTGTAAAAAACTATATAGATTAAAACAGCTTCAGTGCTTACACAATATTCAGTGGTCTTCAAAATTATCTATCTATTCATTATCTAATTCATTTCTGGGTCATTTATAGCGAAAATTGTGAACAAATCACTCTGACATAAAAAAAAAAGAAGTTAAATTCTGTTTTACGGTCGGAGATAGTCAATTTTTACATTTTTTCATTCTATCTATCTATCTATCTCAATCAGTCTCTTCATTATCTATCATTATTCAATCTATTCATTATCTATATGTCACTATTCAATATTCATTATCTATCTCAATCTTTCTCAATCAATCTATTCATTCATTATCTTTCTATCTCAATCAGGCATTATCTACGATGAAAAAACTGCACGACTTTTAAAATGTTAATGAAAGTGTAAAGGTTTTTGAATTTATAAGGTTTAAAATATTTTTAAAATTATTATCTACTTAATCATTTTAGCACAAATTATGAACAAATCACTAACATAAAAAAAAAATTAAATTCTATTTCTGTTTTCGGAGGTAAAAGTCGATTTTTACATATTCTTTTTTTTTTCTTTTTTTAATTTTGATTTTTTTTATTTATATACTTTTTCGCACATTGTATTTCTGCCCTGTTAATCTTATAGATAATTTGCGCATTAAATTATTTGCGTATTATTCGGAGGTCAAAACTCGACAAATTCGTAATTATTGACAACCTGGAATGCTCTTTGACATTTTTACACCTCAAGGAAGAGTGAAAAAAATTAACACATTTGAAGAAGAAAAAAAATTTAAAAATCGAATTACAAACAGATATAAATAAATTTAATATGTCCGCGAGAATGCGAGGGAAATAATTATATAAAAATGATGTTTAAAATTTTATTTCAAAAAAGTTTAAATATTTGTTTACAGTACAACAATATTTGAATCTGACTTATGTCAGATGAAAATATTGTCTGAGGCAGATGACCTGAAGTAGAAAAAAAATAAAAACTCTATAATAGCTGATAATAATAACGAAACTGAAAGAAAGGATTTTTTTATTGGTTTTATTGAAAAAAAACAAAAAAACTTGGATACTTTTCTTACGTTAAAAAAAATTATAAAAATATGAAAATTCCTTTTCGATCAGATAATTCATTTTCTGTAGAGCAGTAAAAAGGGAAGAAAAGTCATAAAGTATGAATTTTAGAGCAGATAAAAATGTTAATTTCGTCTTGTGGCTAAGAAAAAATGTAATAAAAATAAAATATCGTATTTACTCGTGTATAAGCCGATTTCGTCTGCGACACGTGAATTTTTTCATGCAACCCCAGCTTCTGCCGTACTCAAATATTGTAGCCCCGGGCGTCATCTTGGACATATAGCAAATAAATGTTCTTTATTTATTTGGCACAAAGCTACCCCCATCCCTCAAAAAAAAAAAAAAAAATAAATGGTGAGAAAAACCACTTACCGTAAAAAAAAAAAAAAAAATCTCATACGAAGATTTAGATGCCGTACTACTCTTGTTTTCGTTAATGTCTAACTGTAGCGTCTAACTGGGCCTGCCCGCGGCCTGCCTCATACGTAGCCTAAGTTTCTTCCCCACTTTTGTCGGTAGATGAAGAAGAGTAACTTATCCACTACGTATGCCACTTAAAAAAAAATCAAACAAATACTTATGAAGAATTAATAGATTTGTTCATATCTCAAATTTGCATTTATCTTCATTTCGTGAGTGGTATCACTGAGGTAACTTTCCAATGACAAGTTTTTTGTCAGAATTACCGTTGAAAAAGAAATACCCCAGCGAATAAATACGTGCAAACGAAGATGAACGCAAACTGAAGAAAGGTAAAAAAAAATTAATTTTAAGCGGCACACATCATGAAGGACGTTCAGAAAGAAAGAATCTAGGCTAAGGGAGACATGTGCTAAAGAGCTTCTTACCTGTAACGTTACGGTTAGAAATAAGGACTACCAGGTAAGTTACGGTCACCGAAAATGCAGAGAAATATTACCTGTATATAGTACAACCAGTCACCGAAAATACTTGATTTTTAACCTCTTCAAAAAATTTACCTGTGTATAATGCGGCCCCCATTTTTGCGCAAAATAGCTAATCATAAAAAACACGCATAATACTCGGTAGGTAATATTTCTACTAAAATAAGTAATATCTAAATGTAGATCTCAATAAAAGAGAAATTATATTTAATTTATAGTAATGAAATAAGTACAACCAGTAAAGGCTCAAGAGTCACTCAAGGTAGGGTGTTACTGCATGATGTAAGAACATGAGAAGGCAACAAATGCAGTTTATGAGGTTATGTAAGAAAGACGGTTAACCTTAGATCAGAGATAGTGAACCACTGACTGACCCGCAGGTTATGAACTGACCCACCATCAACATTTTAGTGATACCCGAGGAGTCAGTGAAATGATGTCATGTAATATGGCTCGCCATGAACTATATAAAAATAAAATCAACCACAGAAATCGCTTTGTTGCTGCATATGTTAAGCTGAATACAACAAAGTATGAACCTCGAATTAGATATCGCAATTATTAGATAGATAGATAGATAGATAGATAGATAGATAGATAGATAGAAATATTAGCAACTAAGATGCAATAACAAGTTATCGGTAAAAAGTATATGGGTGACCAATTTATGTTTATGAAAAATTTAAAAGTAAAAAAGAAAACAAAAAAAAAAATGACCCGGCAACTGTAAAGGTTCGTTATCTCTGCCCCAGACTTAAGATTGTGGTGATGGGTAAAACATCCTGTTGGGGGTCTACTCCACAAAGTAGCAGTTCCGCTGTTCATGCCTGAACTGATGGAATATGAAAGAAATGAGGATGATTCATCCTTGTGTATGTGGCATGTTAGGTCTTAGCTATAAAGGTCAGAACTGGTGGAAAACTTGCGATGAAATAACGATAGAATAGCAAGTGGCTTGTGATGTTTCATCTGTAAGAAAGAGGTTGTAAGGTGGATTGGCGCCATTGAACTCTGTCAAAACAGGCAAGTGAGGGCTGCATAGCTCCACACTAGATATGACAGCAATACTCCATTTTTTGTCTGATCTGGTGGAGGTTTCCCATTTCAATTCTTTAAGGAATGTCTGTTTTGCAATATGTAGTCTTGCGTTGTTGTGGTGGAAAATGACACCTTTTCGATTTGCTAAAATCGGACGTTTTTCTTGACCCTTCAAATGGCAGGATCTGCGAAACCACTTTTTTAATCATCCGATGAGCTGGAGTCCCATCCAAAGAAACCTACTGGATGTTTTTTGTCGCAGTTCCGACGTTTACTACTTTCCGAAATTCATGGCTCATAATATGGCGAAAAGTGTAGCTTTTCATCCTCCATCTTTAAGCCACTGATTTGTAGACAAAAAGTTAATATTTTTAACAAAGTCTGACTCGCAACGATGCATGATAAAATCACAGCCAGAAATCGGCACCAAAACAAACGCCAGTGTCATGTTACAGACATTTTCTATTAAAAATCGGGCACACATTTTCAATGATCGGATATCTTTTTTATTGAAGGATTTTACCTATTGAAAATTTCAATTGTTCGATCAATAAAATTTATACAAAACCTAAATTAGAATGTTTAGAGCTTAAGGTGTTGTGCGTTCGAATTGTACAATTCAATTAATTCAAAATAGAGTACATCTGTTTTCTACAGTATTTTTCTAGACAAACACTACATCATTATTAATGCAAGATTTTTTTTTTCATATTCGATATTTGTTTTGGCAGCGTGACTTTACAAAGTAATCTAGCACTCTAAATGATGCAGGCATTTTCTTGAACTTTAGTAACAATATATTACGATATTTTGCAATAAAAAAAAGATCTATTTTTGTTTTGTTAGCTTGAAGACAGTTTTGCTTTTCTTCTTTCAGATGAATCTGTGTCGATACTGGACAGGTGGAAACAAAGAAGTTTTAGTTAAATGTTAAAGAAAAAACGTTATTAATCAAAGATTTAATGTTAATTTTTCCGTTTGGTTTCAATTAGCAATGGCAATGGAGGATCTGAAGAAGATAGTATAGTAATCTTTAGCTGGCTACATGAAATAAGCTCTGATGAGGAAGGAGGGCTTGGAAAATCTGACACTAACAGGATAGACAGGCAAGAGACAGAGAAAAACAGCGTATGACACACTTAATGGATGGAGAAATAACAGACAAAATTTATTAAAAGCCACAAGTGAGGGAAAGTTGTGGGGAGCCATAATCGACTACGCCTTGAGGGAACACGGCGCATAAAGAAGAAAAATGCCAATCAATAGTCTAATCTTAGTTGTTAAATGCAAAAGGCGATTATCTCCCTTTGGATGAGATGAAGCCACGAGGGTCACCTGACGGCCGGTGAGTGACAAAATACATTTTCACACTCCTTGTTATTGTATACATGTGTTATAGTTTCTGTGTGGAACAACTATTTGTATATAATATTGTGTAAGACTTAGCAGTATAAACAATTCTTTGAGAATAAAGCATGTTTATAATTCATTTTCTTTCAGCTATTCTGTTCCGTCTGTGTATTAAGGTGTTACTATATTATGGATATAATAATGCCTATAATGGGAATTAAAATGGGGAATATTCTTTACTTGCATAGTACCCCCATTAGTACACTCATTGTTTTAATTTTTTCTCCACATTTCTTTCGAGATTTAGAGAATTATCTGAAACGAACGTACTTAATTATTTTCTGGGCGATTATCCTCAATATCTGTCTTTATTTCTGAGATGAGGTATTATGTACACTACTTACACATGGCACAGTGGATAAAGGCGTTGGTTAGATCCAGTGACAGGACCCAAAGAGTGTGAGTTCAATATCCGGTTAAGGCAGTGGAGAACTTTCAGAGGGAAAATTAACAGGAGATAACTAATAACTGACATCCATTAAACATGGCACATGGAACTAGAGCAGTGAGCGAAATAAAGGATTCTGTTCGACATTTCAACCACCTGAAGAAAGTCAAAGCATACAACGGCCGAAACGTTGTAATAAATATGGCGACAAAGATGAGGATAATAGTCCGAATAATGTAAATAGTGATTATCCTCACCTTTTTATTGTTTTTAGTGCAACATCTTGGTTGATATATTTTTCGCGTTCATTCACTCTCTAGTCTTTGTTATCCTTTTTCTTCTTTGTCTTCTTAACAAGAACGCCACAGTTAAGCAAAAAAACCAATGAGCTAACTACCAAGTTTTATACGAAAGAAAATTCAGGATGGGGTTGGAAGAAACCGCCCATCAGAAAATCGGGCTTTCTGGAGAAGATATATTTTCGCAATTGAGGTATTATTTGCGAGGTTTTACTTTTTTGTCAGAGAACCGGGTGCAAAAGTTTAACAGGCGTTCGGTTAAAGTATGACTAAATGCAGAGTCAACCAAAATTTTCGCAAGTAAATGATGAAGAAATAAACAAACATTTTTGTCTAAATTAAAAATAATTTATATTTTTTGAAACTGTGAGTAAGTGTGTGTGACTGTGGCGAAATTGCTTACATGATGGACGGCAGCTGCTTTCAAAGAACAGAAAAAAAGGGCAAAGCGAAAGACTTTTGAAAATTCGCTGCTTTTTATACTCATGCTTCATTGCCTTAGTCACGTGACATGTCTAAGGGAGGTAATCGCACTTTAGCTACCTATGATTTTTTTGTTTATTTTATATTTTGTTGTTGTTTTAGTTCCTACACAAGAGAAGATACTTAACTAGAGATTGAAAAAAAAATGTGAGAAAAATTAAAAATAATTCATCTCAGAACACCAGTAAACAACGATTGTACTAACTAACTAAGATGGGGCTTTCGTTTGGTATTATTAGGAAAAAGTCATTTCATTTTTTTCTGCAGATATCATTTCACGTATCTTATCCAGCTAAAAAGATTATCTGTGACTACACTATCTTCTTTCGCGTGGTTTACCGTTTTCAAACTGTGATCTGGCATTTTGGGTGTTTTCCACCAAGTCGCATGGTCTCAAACAGCACCTTTCACAGAATATTCGCACTCTCAAGCAATGCTGACTTATGGAATTTAAAGGTTGCGTGTGTGCATGTTGTAGGTGTGTTCATATTCACATATAAACAGTTAACTAAGAAGCAACAAAAATTGTGGTTTTTACTACGGACCGTTTGTAGGGAAAACAATGTTCTCAATGTCTATTGGATATGTCAGTTTTATGTTTTTGTCCCAGAAGTAAGTTAAGAATGGATATAATGGTCCAGAGGTAAGGATAAGAATAGTTATAATAATGGTCGAGTTTGTCAGCCTTACGCTGAGTTGGAATGATCAATGTGTAAAGGTTGAACTTAAACAGGTGGATGTTTTGGAAAAAAACGCTAGAACTCTATGTTCAGTCGTCAGTTGACCGGGGGAAAGATACGTTTTCCAGCGGAGACTGAACGTCTTCATGTGAGTCTGCTATATCTTGTAACAAGGGGGTGGGGAGAGGAAGTACATGTTTGTCTTTTTTTAGAACTTAAACAGCGCCACCTAATGGGTATTTGGTGAAGTCAAGTGGGGTTATAAAATTTCTGGTTATTACTAGCATCATGGGGAAATGTATTTCTTTCTTTCTTTTTTATTCATTATTATTATTATTATTATTATTATTATTATTTTATTTACTGATTTTATTTCATTTTTCGACAGATTTCTGAAACAATGTGATACTAGGCTTTACCTCCATTTTCTTAATATAGGATTTTAAGTTCAGTAGTATATACTCCAGTGCCCTAATGATAAGGCCTTTTGCTTTAAAAGTTATACTGGCATTTTGAGACATTATTTTAAATTAGGCCTTTTTACTTCATTTTGAGGTAATATTTTAAATTAGGCATTTTTGCTTCAGATGTTATACCATCATTTTGTGACATTGTTTTAAATTAAGCCCTTTTGCTTGTTATACCGGTATTTTGAGACATTATTTTAAATTAGTCCTTTCAGATGTTATACCGGCATTTTGCGTTTTTTTCTTTTTTTTCTTTTTTCTGTTTACAGTGAAGTTCAGCCAGTTCAAGGCCCAGAGAGACACAATTTATGCGGATATGTGGGAAAGATAACTGTTAACATTAGACTTATACATGTTAAGATTGTAATGACCGGGTAAACATCCTCTTGGGAGTCGGTTCAACAGAACAATTTTTTCTCAGCTGTTCGAGCGGAACTTACTTCTCACCAATGGAATACGAATTAATAATTTGTCACCCACAAATTATTTAAATTGGGCCTTTTACTTCAGATGTTATACCGGCATTTTGAGGCCCTATTTTAAACTGGGGATTTTTGCTTCACATGTTAAACATTGACATTCTGAGGCATTATTTAAAACTAGCTGCTGAATTTATTCATAGAATCCGACCAATAGAAGGAAATAGAACAACATCTGAGCGTGCTACTAAGTAAATGGATGATGATTTAAAATCTAGAAGTAGACGACCATCAGTTGTGGATTATGATGCTTTAAAACGCCATATCGAGAAGAAATCAATCACTAAAACCCGATGACCTTCAGAAGAGCTAGAACCATCAAAATATACCGTTTGTCACGTCACAAGATATTAAGTTCTTTGGGTCACCACATGAACTGCAGTCATGTCTGAGGTAATATAATCTTACAGAGCGGTCAGGTTGATTTCTGAGTTTTCCTATCAAGGCTAGAAACTCCAGTCTGCTCTGCTATTTAACCCATAGAAGAGGGAAAAGTTTATTTGCGCCAAAGTGAACACAACAATCTCGGCTTGAATTTGAACTCGTCACACCGATTCCATATTCGGTGCCGATAACCGTCTATGCGCATTAAACTTCCAAACTAATTAAATACCATCAGTTCAGTTATATGCCATGCGTGATATACATGTAGGCGACCATGTATCATTCGATACACGACTGACGAGGCAGATTTTTTTCCCGCAGTAGGTTGCCATTTCTTTCTGCGGTGGAGCAGTTGCCGTCTAAAGCTATAGAACTCGGTCTGTCCTGCTATTTAACCATAGCTGGGGGAGGAGGAGAGAAAAAGAGGATCCATACCTTTTCCAAGGGTATTAGCAAGTGAATGTAATGGATTCGACTGGAATTCGAACTCAGCTCTCCGAGTCCTCAATCCGAGCCGCTATCCATTACTCCACCGTACCAAAAAAGAAAATATTCTTGGTACATTCGACAAAGATATCTTGATGTTTCATGCACATCATCATAGATTATTTCAAGGGTGTGGTGGCCTTGTTTGGGCCAGAAATAAAGACACAAAGAGAGGAATTGAGTTAAAGCAAATATATTAACAGAAAAAGTAATACAAGCATATACAAAAGAGAGTGTTACAGCAAGAATGTTCGGTCCGACTGTCAAAGCTGACTGCTGTAAACTTCGCTCCTATTTATAGCTGAGAGGGTCCACGCATGCATGGGTAAATTATCATAACAAAGAGGAACAATAAAACTGCACGATTAAAAACAAAACAATTAGGAGTACACATCACGCAAATTGAAAAATGGTTACAACGGAAAAGTTAACAAACGAACACGATAATACTTATTTAAGCTATGTGTGTGTGTACTGTAAACATTAGTCAGATAATAATACTTGGGAAAAAATGATGACAGGAAATAATTTTGTGAAATCAACATGACATCTTTCTAAAGAATTAATGGATTTTATTTTCAATCAGACATATTTTTATTACTTCAAACGTTACTTTTAGTGAAAAATCTTTAGAGTAGATGCTCTTTGTCTTTATATTTCGTGTACCGGTCTGCGCACTCGAGAAAACTTAATAAAGAAAATGCATCCTGTTGGAGAGCATATCATGCAAGTTTCCATCGTGTGTCCATATATATATATATATATATATATATATATATATATATATACGACTCTCCCGTCGAATTCGACGTATGAGGGCCAAGCAGATCACTTCCTAAGAACCGACACCAGCACATAAGATTTGAAGGTTTTGTGCAGAGCCATCAACACTTTTGTTGCCATGGGTTCTATAGCCTTGGATGGCTATAGAACTGTCCTGCTATTTACCCATAGCTGGAGGGAGAAGGCTAATAGCACGTAAGTGAATGTAATGGATTCGATTGGAATTTGAACTCGGCTCTCCGATTCCTCAATCCAAGCCGTTAGCCATTACTCCACCGTGTGTGTGTGTGTGTGTGTGTGTGTGTGTGTGTGTGTGTGTGTGTGTGTGTGTGTGTGTGTGTGTGTGTGTGTGTGTGTGTGTGTGTGTGTATATATATATATATATATATATAAATTCTATTTTGCCTTTATCAACAAATTAGAGTCAAGCATCAGACACAAAATAAACAGCCAACCACAAATTCATATATATATATGAAGTTTCGCATTCATTTGTGGTTGACTGTTTATTTTTAGTGACTGATGTTTGACTCTATTTGTTAATAAAGGACAAAAATAGCAAAGTTGATATATATATATATATATATATATATATATATATATATATATATATATATATATATATATATGTGTGTGTGTGTGTGTGTGTGTGTGTGTGTGTGTTTGACTCTAATTTGTTGATAAAGGACAAAGAATAGCGAAGTTAAACCACTTTCCTCCAACATCACCCCACTACATCCCCGCAAATGGTGTTCACCATCTTGGTACTACCAATCACGAGTGAAATTCCGGACCATTCACCCCCTACTATCTCCACCTACACAACCCATTCCAAGGTAGTGACTTCGGCTTTGCTGGGACCCATTCAACCCACACCTCTTCTACCCCAACCACAACCCATCGTATTTGACAGTTGAATTCGAGATGTATTTCAGAGTCGGCTGTAATTTTCACTAATCCACTATTGATATCAAGACCTCTTTGTACATTCATAAAAGAAAAAAAAAATTTCAAATCAAAAGATTAGCAAAATGCATATGAAAATTCCCTTGTAAATAAGTTTGAAAGCTTTGTGACATAATGTTGTTGGCAAATGTTTAACTCTTTGTTAATATTGTATTCTTTTTCTTTTTCTTTTGTTGTTTTTTTCCAATGTCTTCATTTATCATTCCTTCTCTGTCATTATTTTCTCTTCTTCATTGTTATTTATCAAACCTTTTTTTTATTCAGCCCCTCCTCACAACTTGTTTAATTTACTCGCCACCCCCAGAGCTCCATACTTGGTCCAACGCTATTTTTAATCTTCATTCACGATCACCAACTCTCAACTTTGCATCTACGCTGACGACACTACCATTTAACTCCTGTCTCGATAGTAAGGTTGATCATTCCGACAAAGTCAAAATGGTAGCTGGTGTTCAAAACAACCCCAAGACTGTCGTTAACTGTGGCAAAAAATGGCTTGAGAATTTTAACACCTCCAAAACTAAACTACTCTACATTAATCACCTGAGAGACCCCCATCTCTACCTTTCACCAGCAAGGCTGATGCTATCCTCTGTATTGTATGACTTGTTGCACCTTCTCGGGCTAATGTTCTCAGCTGACATGAAGTGGAAAGACAATATTGAATCCATTGCTAGGTCAGCTGCTAAGAAATTCGATTCACTGCGCCGGGTGAGAGAATTCAAGACAAATCAAAGAGAATGAAATGACTTTAAAAGGAACCAGAAATCCAATCCGAAACAGGAAGTAAGGGAAGCTCCTCAAGTTTAGGATTAACTCTTAGTTTACCTGAATAACTTTATGAGCTTCACTTCTTGTCTTTTCTTACGTTCTTACAACACCACACAGAAACCCTCTACCTAGCTCTTGGGTCTTGTATTTTGTAGATTATGCAAATCCGTCCCTGAGTCAGTTCGGTATTTTTTTAACCCGAGTGTGTGCATTTGTTCTAGAGAAGCCGATATGGCACCGTTATATCAAAGAAGGGTCAATATAAATATAAAAGGAAAAATATCATATAACCCAAACGTGAATATTTACAGTCGCTTTATTCATGATAGATTGTATAAAACCAGTTGATAACTTCTCAAAAATGGCTACTCCAGTCTGGTGAGTGATTTGCAGAATCGAAACTTTCCCTGTTTTACTTTTTATAATTCTTTTTGTCTTTTTTTTTTTTTTTTTTTGCACTTAACCATTTCATGAAAAAAAAGAATTGTTTTTGACACCCAATAGCATATCTTGATTCCCAATTAATTCCGTTTTCCGCATGCTTATTCCAGGATTTACTTCGTGATGACATCTCCAACCTTCCATTTGAAAATTGCGCCAGTGAGGTTTATTCTTTGGTCAAAGCCATCATGGACGCTTACATCCCTTCTCGGAAATACCAGGTGAAACCGCAATTCTCTCCATGATTCACACCAGCATGCTTGATCGCCATAGCACACAAGAACAACTATTTCCGGCTATACCAGCATGACAGCTCCCGTCATAACAGGTGCCTATATACCCGTAACAAATGTAAGCGAGTCCTCGAAGGAGCCATATCCCTGTTTACTGAGAGAATGAGGCTCTGGAATTCTTCTATTGCTACCAATGAATTCCATGGTATCTTCCTCTTTGTCGAAAAGATTCCAGCATTCACACGCATGGCTTTGGTTTTTACATCCGGGATAATCTGCCGATGGCCAGAGAATGGCTAGTATTAGTTTTAGAATGTTGTAAATATAAAATTATTCATGTAAATAAAGAATCTAATAGTGTTTAATATTGTTGAATCACAAACAATGTTTTGTTGTAAATTCTCAAGAACAAAAAACGTATAAATTCACTTCCATCATATGTTTAGGTTTTATTACAATTCTAATGACACTGCCTTTTTTAAAACAAAAAACATTGCCGATTAAAAAAGCGTTGTCATGGGTAACATGTTTTAAATACACATTTTTTTTTTAACTTGAAATCCAGTCTTGATGTTTCATTCCTTTCCATGAAGGTACCTGCTTCTCCAACAGACCACACTTTTTTGTCCCATAACGAACAAAAAAAATATAATAATTTGTGTACTTACCTGGTATATGATATCCTTGGCTTTGTACGTCTTTGTGCCGGAAGTAGAACTCTTCTGACTAATGTCCAACTGGTCACGCGGATAAATCCCCCTCCTTGATTTTGTCTGGTGGGAGCTTCTCACAGTGTCCAGTTCTGTCGTCCTATCGCCAGGAACGTCAGCCCACGAGGAGTCGAGGTGGGAAGGACACATCAAGTGTCGCTCTTCGCTGATATGTTTGGCACAGGGATTGGCTCCGGCACTGAGCGAACCATTTTTACGATTTTTACAACGGATGAAACATATGGACACGCTAGCAGTAACCGGCACGGATACAGTTACAGCCACCAATACAATAACGATCAAAAGGAACATATTGACTTTATCCTCTGGCTGCGATAATGCCGTACTGAGGATTTCGATTGTTTTGTTACTCACGGTCAGCGTTAAAAATACGGTTGTCGTGGCGTTAAGAATTGGAATACCGTTGTCTTTGACAATAAACTGAAGGTCATAAGCCCCAGCGTCTTGCTGATTCAAGTCCCGACTGAATGAGAGCAAACCTGAATAATGATTCAGGGTAAAAAGCTGCTTGTCGTTACCTTTTAATATTTCGTACTTAAGAAACGCGTTTTCCCGACTGTCTCTATCGAAAGCTTTTAAAACTGTGATGTTTTTGGTATGGCGTGGGTAGTAAATAACATCCAAACTGTAGGGGTTAACACTAGGGAATGTGAAATATGGAGTGTTGTCATTTTCATCTTTAACTTCAACGATAATCTTGACAGTGCTATTCAAAGGTGGTTTCCCGTTATCCTTGACGAAAACCTGGAACTCATAGACGTCCTGAAATTCGTGATCCAGAGAGACGAGCGTCAAAATCTGTCCGTTGTCCGTAATCTGGAAAGGTAGGAAGTCTTGCTGGTCAGTGAGCAGCGAGTAAGTCAGCTGACCACCGAGCCCGAGGTCCGGATCAGTGGCATTTATAAAGCCAACGGGAAATTTAGACCTTTGATTCTCGTCGACTACAAACTTGAATATCCTTTCAGTGAACTGTGGTCGGACGTCATTAACATCCATTATCTTAATTGAAAATTTGCTCTCACTTTGCAGGGACGGAGTGCCTTTATCCTTGCAAATTATCGTAATATCGTGATGATCACGTGTTTCTCTGTCAAGAGTGTCCTTAACGATAACCTTGAATTTTTTCGTTCCCAAACTCTGGAGCTGAAATTTGTTGTGATGGAGATCGCAGATAACTTCGCCGTTCAGACCAAAATCGTGATCGGAGACCTTCACATAAGCAATGAAACTTCCGACTGCAATGTCTTCAGAAATGGTGGCCGTGTTCCCTGTAGAGGCCGACACAAAATTGACATCAATAACTGGTGGATTATTTTGCTGGTTGATGACATAGACAACGACCTTGGCTGTCGAACTCAGGGGAGGATTGCCTTCGTCTGTGGCTTCCACATATAATTTATAAATCAACTTTTGTCCGAAAGTAAAGTCCTTACCTAGGAATATCTCTCCGGTGGATTCGTCCAAATCGAAGAGAGATTTTGCGATATTAGATGTTTGGGAGCTGAAACGGTAAGAAACTTTACCATTTTGTTCTAAATCGGCATCGGTAGCAGAGAGGATGACAATCGGAAATGTTTTCTCGTGTTCGTTCTTTACTGAGACGTTGTAGACATTCTGCGAAAAAACTGGCGGAGTATCATTCACGTCTGTCACGGCAATGTGGACATCCAGAACGCTTTGTTTCGGCGGTGATCCACCATCCTTTGCGATCACTTGTACTATATACGAGTCTTTCACTTCTCGATCGAGTCTTTCTTCCAGAGTTATGCTTAACTTTGACGTGCCATCGAGACTCTTCGAAACAGACAAGGCGAACGGTTCATATTTGTTCTTCTCCAACTGGTAAGTGATTTGAGAATTTAGGATTCCAACGTCTCCGTCTATGGCGTTCGGAATAGAAACTTTAGTTCCTTTGGCATCGTTTTCCGAAAACTGTATGCTGACCTCTTTCTCAGGAAACTCTGGCTGATGGTCATTGGCATCTTGGATAATGACCTTGATTTCCAAGATCTTGATAAAAGTCTCTCTTTTACGTACGGCCACATCAACTATCTTGAAGCATTCTTCGTTCCGGACGCAAATCGATTCCGCGTCTAGTGCCTGGGCGGTATAAATTTTTCCTGTGTTGCGCGAGACACGAAACAGTTGAGAGGTACCGATGGTCTCTTCGCGCATTTGGCTAAAACGAACCAGTTTTCGGTCTTGAGGTAACAAGCTGTCCAATACGTGCGTATCGTAGGCAATGTCACCAACAAAGGCGCCAGGACTTTTGCCATCTTCGACGTAATAAGTAAAATCCAGACTGTAACATAGGTTCAAGACAACCAGAAACAAAAATATCTGTATCAGCATAATGTCGCTCCAAATGTTTCTTTGGTCGGAAAACAATATTTTTTTTATATATTTTCCTATTTTTTCTCTCTCTCTCACTCTCTCTCGATTGCTTTGATGTCGTCGAAATTTGGTCTAAACCTGTAAAAATATAAATAAATCCATAAGGTGCCATGGAATCAGAAAAAATGTAATTGTGGTCATTATATAGAGAGAAATCAACAAACATGTATAAACGTGAATGCAATAAGACAGAGTGTCAAAAGGGCTGTTTTTCCCATGAAAACGCTTCTATTTTAACTACATTTACTCCTCGGCAATGTAATTTTTTAAGTAAAGATTAGAATTGTAATAAAACGTGAAAGTTAATTTATACATTTTCTTTGTTATTGAGAATTGACAATAAAAATAATAAACACTATTTATTTATTAGTTTGTTTATTTACATTATTTACTTATTATATTATTGGAATGGTTGGCAAAGCATCGGCTAATTGCCAATTGATTCAAACTTTATAAAATAGTAAATAATAAGGATGTCCTTATAACTAGTTCACATATTTTAATAATTGAGTAAATGTTTCAAGATTTATGAATAAAAAATTGTTTCACAATTATTTTTTTATAAAATGGTAAATGATAAATATTTCGGTGTATTAGTTCTAATTTTGTTAGTTTTAGAATGTTGTAAATATAAAATTATTCATGTAAATAAAGAATCTAATAGTGTTTAGTATTGTTGGGTCACAAACAATATTTTGTTGTAAATTCTCAAGAACAAAAAATATATAAATTCACTTTCATCATATGTTTAGGTTTTATTAAAAATATAATGACACTGCCTTTTTTAAAAAACAATAAAAATTGCCGATTAAAAAAGCGTTGTCATGGGTAACATGTCTTAAATACACTTTTTTTCTGCTTTATGTACTTCTTTTCTGGGAAATTTATATTTCTAAAAAAAAAACAGATAATGAAATTTCCTAATTTATTTTGAAAATTAATGACAGTCATAATTTTAGACAATGATTTTACAGCTCAGCTCAATAGCATTATCATAGATTGAGGTCAAGAAAACAAATTTAGTTTTTCAGTTTAATACTCAGTTCCGGTTTATGGCCATATTACGTTGAAGCTAAGCAATGTCGATAAAACTTAAATGTGGATACACTTGCTGTAAGACTTAAATGGAAATTTAAGTGGGAATACAAGGTGCTGTAAGCTTGAATGTGCGTCTCGGAATTGGAAATTCCAGACAGGTTTATTATATTCACACTCCTCTTTTGAACAGGAGTAGAGGTTTATCTCTTGTTTCCGGTTTACGATTAGGTTTCCGGTTCTTTCTAAGGTCTTTCATTATCTTTCTCTTCCAGTAACCCCTTGCTTGGGGGTGAATTGATTAAAAAAAAACAAACTTTCACGCAAATACCCTAGGGGGATTTCTACGGATATTTTATTGTCATAGAACACGCCATTATCATTAACTTAATTCAGATTCATTAGAAAATTCAAATAGGAAAACCGTGAAATTATCTTGGGTATATCTAGTATATTATTTATTACTGTTGTTTCAAATAAATCATTTTTATCTCCAAAAAAAACTTTAAAATCTAAAAATATTTTCTGGCTTTAAATATATTTTCTGACTGCAAAAGGTTGGTAAGTCGTAAAAAAACAAATCAATCAGTAGTCAGTTCAGCCAAAAATCAGTGGACTGAATAGCGCCTTGGATGACGTATGTTTCTCATTTACGTTCAAGAGCATCACTCAACGCATGATTTAGTAATCCCAGATTTCAGACCGATAAAACCACAATTAGAATTTTATAGAGAGTGAAAAATAAAGCATATCAAAGAATACTATCTTTATATATATTATCATTGTCATATAAAAAATATATCAAGAATGAAACTTAGCAACGAAGCAATCAAATTAATTCATTGACTTTCCCAAACTAATAACTACATTATTTTCCTGATGAAGCACCAGGCGCCATGTTTTATGGAGGCAGCAGCAATTACATATCGGCCCAATCAGCAATATCTAATGAAAGTATCGAAGAAAACAAATAATGAACTAGAAATAAGAAACAAAAATGAAAACAAAACTCTTTCTAATATTTTCAATGTACCATCTGCAAATGTATCTTTCGAAAGGTAATTTGTACCCCCATCGCAGCCAGCCATAATTTCATATGTACGTATCCGGCAGGAGGGAAGAAACGCGTATGTGTCTGTTCATCTGAATCATTGAATATGGAGAATGAAAAAAATCAGCCCGTTTCTAATGTAAAAGTGTACAATGTTCAGACAAATGAAGAAAAAGAACGATGTGTGTTTGTATAGTTGTTGAAGCATCTTGTTGACGTGTGCGTCTGTGTGGGTCTCTGTACGCACGCATGAGCGCGAATTTTAATGCAGGATGCACAAAAACGAATACACTGGTGTGTGTGTGTGTGTGTGTGTGTGTGTGTGTGTGTGTGTGTGTGTGTGTACAAGTTCACCTATTCCCTATGTTAAATGGTTTCATTTGCGAGTTCAGTCTTATTCGATATACATGAATATAAGATATAAAATCCCTGTTTTATAAGATATTCGTGAACAGGCGAAAGTGTGTCTATATATATATATATATATATATATATATATATATATACTGACATATATATATATATATATATATATATATATATATATATATATATATACTGACACATTAATATATATATATATATATATATTAATAAATACATATACCTACGTTTGTAGAGCAACTTAAAAGTTTCATTGTTTCCTAAGTCTTGTGCCTGACGACTAGGAAAAACAATGAAGCTTTTGTTGCACTGCAAACGTAGGTATATGTGTATTTATTAATATATACTTCATAGCTCTGTTTCACTACATTGAACACTGTTTTGTTTGCAACATAAATTACATTAAATAAATATTTATTTATTTGCATATCTGTGTATGCACGCTATCTCACGCTATATATAGTTGCTAATATCTCGTTATTTAGTTTATATTCACATTTATATCTATCTATCTATCTATCTATCTATCTATCTATCTATCTATCTATAAAGATATATATATATCTTTCTATATCTATCTATCTATCTATATATAAAGATATATATATACATATATATATATATTATATATATATATATATATATATATATCTTATATATATATATATATATATATATATATATATATATATATATATATATAAATTTTTAAAATAAATTAAAGGTTAAAATAATCTAAAGGCTTAAAATATCAAATAAACTGAAGGCTCAATGCCAAAGTCAGGTGATTGTGTTGGTGCATGAAACTCTGAGTAGCAGATTTTGATATTAGCATTAATATTGATAATAAATATATATATATATGTGTGTGTGTGTGTGTGCGTGCGTGTGTGCGTATGTGTGTGTGTGTGTAGTGCATTTAGCAGCAATCACTCGTTTATACGAGTTTCATTGAAGATAACTGACAAGGCAAATTAGTTATTAATTTTTCTTGCATTCGTACAAGTATTTTCTTTTCTGTGTAGAAACTGTCTAAATGATCTGTAGATCTCAGTGTTTTCGACTAATCTATTAGCCATTATCAAGGATGATTTTATTTTACTAAATATATAATAAGTATTTATGTAATGATATAGAAGGACGTTTTTTTTTTCATTTCCGAACACGGTCAGTACGTTGTAGCCGTGTTCATAGTTGATATTATTAAGAGCTGATTTCTTTTTTTTTTAATTATTAACTAGCCTAGAAGCCACCCTTGGGGCGTACTATTGGTTATCTACTGCAGAGAGCCTTTGGACCTTCGGACTTTTACCTTCAGCGTCCCAGGTACGTAAAAATTATAAGAATTTAGAAATAATAAAATTATTTTATCTTTAGTCGGCATAATCTTTTTTCGTATACGCAACAGATCTACGTACTTTTTTTATATTTATTTTGTGCGCAATTTTTATTTTCTTTTAAAATCACCATTCTTTATGATCCCTTAAAAGTCATTAAGGAACCCGAACTATGTAATATTTCGAATATGTCACAGTACGCGTGCTAGAAAAAGAAAAAAAAAACACAAGCAGCGTAGCATGTCCCGCTTAAGTTTTAATTACGGGTTAATAAGTGTTTTGTTGGTCTTTCGCTCGTCTGTGACCCACGTATAATAATCAACGAGGTGCAGTCTGGAGAGTTAGCTGGCCAAATGTAAGGGGTGATGTGGTCGCAGAAATTGTCTGAGAGCCATGACTGGGTTCTCCTGCTTGTGTTGCGTGGTGCCGTCAGGGAAGCAAGAAACCGGAAGAGAGGTGAGAAAATAAACTATTGGAATAGAACTAAGAATTTCTCATGACATTCGAAGAGATATATGTGCAATGTAATTCTCTGTAATATGATGCAAATCTATCATGTATATGCGAGCTTTAATTTACTTGCTAATCAAAATAAAATAGACAATAATCAGAGAATCTCGACCCACACTTTGTGAATATTCATTTCTTTTCCTTTTAGTAAGTTCTTCCTATTTTCTTTTATTGGCGTCATATTGTCCGGCTGATATTTGGTCGAAACACGCGCATGCGTGGAGAATGCGAATTCATATACACTTACGTCAGGTTATCTTCTTCTTCTTCTTCTTTGTATCGTATGCCTTCAGCATGTGGGTAATAATGGCTCTCCACAACTTCCCGTCCTTTGGCAAACTTTACTAAGTTTGTCTTTTCTCTATTTCTCCTAATCCCGGTTCTGCCATCTATTAGGTTGGCTTTCCTCTGTTTCGCTTGCCTTCACTATGTCCTTACAGTGTCAAATTCTCCAAGCCCTCTTTCCTATGGCATTCAAACAGATATAGGTGCAATGTAATTCATCATCCATTCGTATATAAGAATGGCATATGGGTAGAATGGATGTGCTCTAGAAATTTAAACTGTCACTTTCTGATGTTAAGTATAAATCACCTTTTTGTGCCATTTTTCTCTAAAACTTCGTTATTTCAACGACATTTTTGTTGTCTCAAGTCTCTTGATCATCTGCAATGAGATTGTCCAGCATTCACTGCCATATAGGAGGGCCAATATTACTTAACAATTAAGTACTAATATCTTTGTTTCTAATGAGATTTTCCTGTTTCTTCATACTTTGCTTAGATTTTGTTGGAAAGCATCTCTCGCTATTCAAATGCACCTTCGGATTTTGGCGTCGCATTTTCTTTCCAAGATATTTAAATTTATGTACTTGATTGACTTTGGTATTTCTAATTTGTAATTCGCAGGGTACTGTTTCGTTATTCAAATCCGCTTTAATTAAACTCATTTATTTATTTATTTATTTATTTTTCGAATTCAGGAGTTAATGAATTTAATTCTTTATTTTTTCTTTTTTAGGACCGAGGAGATGCTGTGTTAAATTGAAAATGGAATATATGTCTTGTTTACATGCCGTGACTTCTCAGGATATAGGCGATCATGGCTTTCCACATATTTCGTCCCCAGAAAAACTACTTCAAATTGGTAATTTTTTATCGAGAGAGTCAGTTATATATATATATATATATATATATATATATATATATATATAACTGACTCTCTCTCTCTCTCTCTCTCTATATATATATATATATATATATATATATATATATATATATATAGGGCGTGCTGAAATACAACAAACACGGGGGGTACAATTTTACACTGAAACATTAAAGATACAGGGAAGCTCAGCTTTAAATTTATTTTTTTATCACTTTTGTTTTTCATCTTGTTTTTTTCTTTTTTTTGTTTTGTTATTTCTCCCCAACGTTGTTCCGCCATCTCTAAGTAGGTTAGCCATTGTTTTTCTCTGGCTCTTTTGCCTTCAATCTGCCCTGTGTGTATCAGATTTTTCAAGCCCTCTTTCCTTTTTCTGTAAAAGAGCTGAGCACTGTTAACTAACTCCTATGGTCGAGCGGATAATGTAAGAGTCAGCGATCCGAAAAAGAGTCATCAGCAAGCCGAGGTCGAATTTCTAACCTTGGTTGGTTACCAGTCTACGCGAAAGACAACTCTGAATTCAATACAAGTTGGCGTGCTAATAGACAACTAGAAGCTATCCAGTCTTGGGATAGGCATTCATCCATCTCCTCCCCCAACTATGGGTTAAATTTATATTTGGGGAAATCATTGTTACTCATTGCTGCATATTGTTATGCAATATTCCATCGCAAAAAAGAATTGCTCTTATAATGTCAAAATGTCTCGGTCACAATTTCCTGTTGATAAGCAAAAAAACAAATCGATCAATCAACAATATGTAGCACATTCCATATTAAAACGACCTTTCATCACCTCCTGCCACCATGAGCTGATGGATAAAATAGCAGAACAAAGTATAGTATCTGTTCTAACCCCCTTAAAAGTTATGAGAAAAGCTTGGTCGATTCCAACTCTGCGACGATATTAATACCGCCTCCATTGCAGAACTGGGCAATACTGATAGTGATCACAGAGAAAGTGCACATTTGTACACACCGAAATGCCATTTGCAGGTCGGGAATACTAGAATCAAGCAGTCGCGGAAGTTTAAATATCTTGGAAAACAGAGGGCGGTAAATATGACACTGAGATCTGTAGACGTATTGTGATGACCAAGGACTCATTCCAAAAGCTCGACAGAGTATTGCGAGACAGGAGGATATCTTTGGTAATGAAGAAAAGGATAATGAGCTGTTACGTGGCATCTGTCCTTATTTACGGCAGTGAATATTGGACAATTTCCTCAAAGATGAAAAAGAGACTCGAGGCGACGGAGATATGGTTCTACAGAAGGATGCTAAGGATATCATGGACCAAGCAGCGATGAGGTCTTAGAGAGGATGCAAACAAGGAGGAGGTTTATACTTAACATCAGGAAGAGGTAGCTGAAGTTCCTGGGACACATAATGAGGAAGGAGGGCCCGGTGAATTTGATACTCACGGGTCGAATAGAGGGAAAGAGAGACAAAGGAAAACAACGCATGACATACCTAGCGAGCTTAAGGAAGTGGTTGACAGAACGTGGTCTGGAGGAGGTGGCAGAGGAAAGGAACTTGTTGAAAGCTGCAAGGGATAGAGGGAGGTGGAGAGCCATGATCGCCTACGTCCTGAAAGGACACGGCACACAGAAAAAATATTAAAAAATCGACCTCTTGTCACATTCTACCACCGTGGGAGGTGAATAATTACCACGCTCCTTCGCCCGAACTTCCGATTGCAATCTGACGGAAGCGAACATATTTAATGCCGAAATGAAAATTCAAACTTTATAATTGATTCAAGAGAATGACATTATTTTATGATTAAATTATAATTACTTAGCGGCATTTTTTTTTTTTTTTACAAAATAATCTTATGAAATCAAACGAGGAGTGAGAACTTGTTTTTCTTTACAAGAAATGTAATCATAGCAAATTATTTTTTATTTAAGTTTTTTTTTTTTTTAAATGTATTCCATGTCTTCAATTTTACTATAAAATGTATTGATTGTTATTTTGCTATAGTCATAAATAAAATATATTGCTGGTAATTTTACTATAAAAATGTATTGGCGGTAAGTTTTTTTTAATAAAAATGTATTGTATTTTTAACATAAACATGTATTTTTATACTTTCCTAGAGTTTTGATTTTTGTTTGCGGTTCACTATTTGCCCATAGCTGAGCACGTAACAGTTAGGGTCTCAGGGAACAACTGCAGTTAAGAAATAGTTCCATACTTCTCAAAACCTCCATTCTCCCAATCAGATGCCTTGCTACTGGATGTAGTTTATCATTATACCCAAGATTACTCATTGGGTAGGTCTTACCCGTCTGCAATGACGCAGTCGGAGTATTCTACAGCCCCAGTAAGAGAAACATGAAACCGGAAGAGAGTTACTCAAGTGAGAAATAAACTATTGGAATAGAATTTACCGTTACAGTTAGAGCTATTTCAACGGTAAAACGGTGAGGAATAGTTTCCAATCTTGTTGTACACAGTCGAAGTACCGAGGAAGAGCGTTCATTATAATAATTGACATGAAAATATTTGTAGGAAAGACACATGGAAGCCACTTTTATACATTTTCATTGATAATGCTAATAAACCGTTGATTTGGTTTCTCTGTTCTTGTGAATCCTTATTGGTATTTATCAACCTCTCTACGAAGGAAAAATGTGACAAAAAAGGCTACCGAATTTGTGTTCTTAGTCGAGAGTACTTTCACGTTAACGTCGATTTCCACCATTTTTTCTTGTTAGTGTTGCCGCAGATTTGGAATCGCCATCTTCTGTCTTCTTAAACCTTGTTCTTTTATTGTCCTTATTCTTCACTAAAGTTTTATAATTCTCTCGGTAACTGCTGTCATCTTAGAGACATTGTCGCTTTGCTTGTTATAAAAAAAAATATTTTGGAAAGCTGGATAAATTTTTTTAACTCTGAGTCTTTGTACGCGTGGGACCTCCAAGTTAAAAAAAAACAAAAAAAAACCTTGTGTCGCATTCGGAAACCTTGTGTTGCATTTATATATATATATATATATATATATATATATATATATATATAGGGCGTGCAGAAATACAAAAAAAAAATACACGAAAAAATTGAAACATTAAAGATGCAGAGAAGCTCAGCTTTGCTTAGTTTTCTATAATTTTTGTTTTTTATCTTATTTTTTTAATTTTTTTATTTGTTGTTAATCCATCTCAACGTTGTTCCGTCATCCCTTTACTGAATCTCGTTAAGTAGCTTATACATTGTTTTCCTCTGTCTGTCTTGTCATCAATCTGTCCTGTGAGTATCAGATTTTCTAAGGCCTCTTTCTTCTTTCTAGAGAAGAGCTACGCACTGTTATCTAACTCCTAGGGTTGAGCGGGTAATGTAATAGTCAGCGGCCCGAAAAAGATAAATCAGCAAGCCGAAGTCGAATTGCTAGCCTTGGTTGGTAACCGGTCTACGAAAAAGAAAACGCTGAATTCATTACCAATTGGCGTGCTAATAAACAAATAAAAGCACTTCATCTTTTTTAATTCTTTTTCCTGCCTCTTTCTGATTTCGATTTTGGTTGACTCTTAGTCATGAAGTTCGATAGTTCTCTCTGCATGTTTTTATTTATTTTTAAATTATTATCAGAGAGTTTGGGCGCACGAACTCACAAAGGTCTAGTTTTTAAATATATCAAAAATGTTTCACTCAGAGAGCTTTTTTCCAGGACCTGTCACTTTATGAAACAAGCTACTGCGTAGGTGCTTTCCAGAACACTACAATCCTCACCCCTTCGTCAAAGGTCAGTCGTTATTCACTTCCTACATCACCCTCATCATGACCATTTTAATAGTAACTTTCTCGCTTGAGTGATTTTCAAGCCTTATATTCTAATGAATTCTAACATGTGAAAAAATATGTCTGCAATAATTATGTACGGCTTCACTTGTGTTAATAATATAAAATATACTTATATATGTATTGCTAAAATGCACGCACACACATACATTCATACATTCACTGATACAAAATAAAGGACCGCACAGTTGTTCTCTTATTTAACGCACACACGCGCACTTCTCTCACTCATTCACAAACGCGCACACACATAAACACACACAGACACACACACAACATAACTGAAAATTACATTGCTTTGTGTTCCACCTGTCACAATAATTGCAATTACCATGCAGGTAGAAACTTCCCTCAATAATGAGACGCATTGTTCTTTTTTTCTCCCCGTCTCGTGCTTTGAATTTCTGTCACATTCCATAAAAGACGACTGATTCCACCATGAACATAAATGATGCTCAACTCTTTCTGGCACCTAAATTGAACCACGCCGCTCTCCGCCAATCTAAGCAGTCGAACAACCGACTTTCCAAAACAATTCATTATCTTTGCTTTTCATTCATTCATTCATTCACTCTTTCTTTCTTTCTTTCTTTTTCTTTCATTCATTCATTCTTTCTTTCTTTCTTTCATTCATTCATTCTTTCATTGATTCATTCTTTCTTTCATTCATTCATTCTTTCTTTAATTCTTTCTTTCATTCATTCTGTCTTTCCCTGTTTCTTCTCGCTCGCTCGCTTGCTTGATTTAAGTTGTGCTTGAGCTTTCGGAATTTTACAAGTGGTAGACAGGTCATTTTCCCTTTAAGAGCAGAAAAGCCCTCTCGAAAGAAAGATAGACGTTGACTTGAGAGACAAAACAAAAGATGTAAATGAACAAAGAAGAAGAAGGAGGAGGAAGAGGGTAAAAAAAAGAAACAAGAGAGAAAGAAACGGATACAGAAAGAGAACAGGATGCGAATGGCAGACATTGCGGTTCTCGATAGCACTATAGATAAGACTTCAAACGTCTCCGTCAGAGTAACTAAAGCGGTAAGAAGACGTACACACTTGGACTAGAAAAGCCCAGCTCAACTCAAATAGGATTCAATAAATTCCGTTTGAGCCATTAATCGAGATGGAAGAGATTATTAAAAAGCTTAAGTATAAAAGCAAATAAAATGAAACAACTCTGATGACAGCACAGCTGAGTATGTTTATTCTTCTTTTTGTTGAAGTGAATAGGGTGACCTGGCAGTAAGAAACCTGAAAGATGTTCGCTCCATAAGCGGTACAAGAAGAATTCTGGAGCCTACGATATAAAATGGGCTAGCTCTAGCAGCAAGGCGAATCCAAAGATTATAGGTTTCGCCTTGACTTACAACAATACAGCTGGTCGTGTTTGATAATGAAATAATATGAAAACGGCGTTAAGCATAAAACTAACGGACAGAAATATGTTTCATTATTTGATCTTATTCTTAATTCTAGAAATATTTAGTCTGCTGGTGTATAAGGCTATTACTTTATTCCTTGGTGGGTGCGCCAGGAATATGACCTTGTGCTAAAAAGTCAGCTACAGTCAACTAAACTGCTAGAAATACCTGTACAACAGTGGTTAGCATTTTCGTCTTGCTAATCGTCATAGTTGCCTCTAGGGGTATGACATGATGGAACAGTTATCAACACCGAATTCAAAATTCCTGCCTAGTCTGTTTCGTTCGCTTTCACACGAACGGCCTTGTGGCACCCAAATTGAGCCACGCCGCTGTCTGCCAGTCCAACAAGTCGAACAACCGAGTTCCCAAAACAATTCAATATCTTTGCTTTTCTTTCTTTCTTTCTTTCTTTCTTTCTTTCTTTCTTTCTTTCTTTCTTTCTTTCTTTGAGTTGTGTTTGAGCCCTCGAACTTTTTCGAAGCGGTAGGCACTTAATACATAAATCTACCCAAAGTGCCATACCAGTTTGGGTAGATAGGGATCTTTAGCTTTGGGAGGGAGCCAGGCTAGGAGATGGCTAACTCTGAACAACAAACCGTGGAAAAGGCATGTGAAAAACTATTCCATTATCTTATCTAATAAGTCATGAAAAATCACAGATATTAAAGTAAAATATCTGTGGAGAGTCATGGTTGCCACCACCCTGAAGGAGCCATATATATATATATATATATATATATATATATATATATATATAGAACAATTATATCGACTGACGTAGTGAGTTCGATCCTCACTTTCGTCCTTGTGCCACTTCTAAGCTACGCTTGGAAAGTCACTATCTGGGCACCTCGGAGTGGTGTAACGGTTAGCAATCTTGTCTTGCTAGATCAATTACTACTAAAAAGTGAGTTTGATCCTCACTAGGTGCCCTCTTGTGCCACATCTAAGCTGCGCTTAGAAAATCATTTGGGCACCTCGAGGCGATGTAATGGTTAACAAGCTTGTCTCGCCAGAACAATTACAACTGAGTAGAGTTCGATCCTCACTGGGTGCCTCCCTACTGTCGACCTTGTGCCATATCTAAGCTACGCTTGGAAAATCACTATATGAGTTTGTGCCCGAATGCGACACAAGATTTTTTAACTTGGAGATCCCACGCGTAAAAGGGTTCAGGGTTAAAAAATATCATCCAGTTTTTAAAAAAAAATTTATTACTGAGCAAAGCGACAATGCCACTAGGATAACAGAGGTTACTGAGAGTGAAGAAGAATTAGAAGACCTTAGTGAGGAAGAAAGAAAATAAATGAACCCAATGCAATTGTTTTTTTATGAATTATTTTGTGCTTTACGATTTACTTTTTAAAACAACAAACGTATGTAAGACACTTACACACACATTATATATATATATATATATATATATATATATATATATATATATATATATATATATATATATATATATACTAGAATAAATCCCTAAGAGCCAGGCAAACCTACCTAAGTTTCACCTAAACGGATCTTCAGGGTAAACTAGCCAGTTTACCCTGAAGATCCGTTTAGGCGAAAACCTAGGTAGGTTTGCCTAACTTTTTAGGGGATTTATTCTAGTTTGTCGCTCTACTTAGCGTATTGAGCACTCTACGTTTTAGTCTTTCTACTCGTTTGTTTTTTTTCTCTTTGGACTAAGGACTTAAAGCACTTGGCGATTTGTTTCGTCTTGTTCTGATGTTTTTAGTTCTTTCTTTTTTTATTTCCAATTTTTTCCTCGGGTACCGATTTGTCCTGACATATCTGAAAGTTGAGCTCTCCGAGGTTTTCCAAATGAGTACTAATATTATATATATATATATATATATATATAGATAGATAGATAGATAGATAGATAGATAGAGAGAGAGAGAGAGGGCGGGGAAAGGGTTATAACAAATGTGAGTGATTTAGCATCCCGACTCCAGAGTTTCGTAGTCGGAACTTTTAGTAATCGCTCTGTCCACTCTTCAGAGCGATTACTAAATTTGCTGTATTTTAGGGAATCAGTGCTCAACATCTATAAACACTGTGCTTATAGGTAGAGACAGTGCGGACACAGGAATCAACACAGTGTGGAGAGTTCATATTTTTCTCCTTTAAGATTTTATTTCTCGACTATTCATGCCGGTAGACAAGAATAAACAAATATACTGTTTAATAAATAAACGATGTGTCTACGTATCCACTAAAAATAGCGTTTATTCTGTCGGATTAATAAATAAAAAATCCATCCCTTTCTTTAGAAAGTGCTTTGTTTACGTTAGGATACGAAACTGAGCAGATATGTCGATATATTTCGAGAGTCGGAGAAAAAAAGGCACTATTAAACTAAAGCACATCAGATCTAATAACGGCTTCCCCGAGGAGAACGCTGGTTCGAACCTTGCCAGAGAGTGTATTTGTTTTTAATTTTCTTTCATAAGATTTCTAGATTTTTTTTTAACTCAGATTGTTTTTACACACACACACACTATTAGGAAAATTGATAATAACGTAGGAAAAATATGTCACACCATGTCTTTCACTTTTGTTATCCCATACTGTGATTTGCCAAGAAACAGAAACAAAACAAGCAGAAACTAAATGCAATTGGTTAGATTAAACGTATATTAATAAAAAAAAAATGCTAAAGTTAGAAGTTAAAATTTCAGCATCCCCTCTCCTTCATGCACATGTGTAGTTACATCAATGTAAACGTCACTTTTTAGTTCGATGAAGGCGAAACACATCACACGACTAAAATTTCATTAATTTTTCTGACCAACATAAAAATATTTCTCCCATAAAAAATATTTTTACTAATATTTTCTAAAAATAATAATTTTAAAAATAAATTTATTCATTTGTGATTAATTCCTGAATGTTTCATTAAAATCCAACAATCATTTGATTTTTGCAAGAATTTCCAAATCAATGTGCTATCTTACCAGAATAAAGGCGATAAAATTTCCATAGTCAGCTTTGTTTCACCGTTGACAGATAAAAAAAATAAGAGTTTTAACCAAAACTTTCGAACGTGTTAGAAAAGAGTAAAAAAATTTAAACAATAATTTAAAAATAGTTTGGTCTTTCCTTTTAATAATAACATAAACATTTTGACGATAAAACTTTGTTTTTTGGGGACCTTTTTTCATCATGCTATGCTGTTTTTTAGCGAAAAAGTGGAGGTACATATATATTATATATATATATGATATGTATATATAACGGGGAAAGAAGGTTTGGAAAATATGAAACTCACAAATGGCAAGAGGGAAAAAGAAAAGCAGCGCTAAAATGGTTGGCAAAACATGGTTAGGACTAGGAGAGATACCAAAAAGACAAAACTTGCTATGAGCTACAAAAGAGAGGAAATTGTGGAGAGACATCATCAACGACGCCCTGAAGGGACACGACACCAAGAAGAAGAATCATACAGTGTTGATTCCTATGTCCTATCTATAGATGCGCTATCTCCAATTTTGAGGACTTATTTCTCAGCAAATTTTAAACTACTTGAAAAAAGAATCCCCCAAAATATGTAAATTTTAACGAGAAATTTTCTCTAACACAACTTTTAAGTTTTTGCAAGCAAATTTTACTTCTGTTTTGAAAAACAAGATAATTCACTCAATAAATAAGACATGATGTCCAGTTTTTGTTTGTTTCATTTTTTTAACGTAGAATTTAATTATCATAATGTAATTTCGAAATGGGATAAAAAAAAAAATATATTAATGGCAATGCGGTTGTATGCGCATGCGCGCGCGTATTCCAACACATACATACAATGGTATGATCAAAGAAATATTCTGTTAAAGACACTGTACACAGTGCTTAGTATATTTAAGTACAAAATCTCTCTTTAAATGTTAAGAGTCTACTTTGATGTTTTTCACGTTTCTAGATTTTTTAAAATTTTTTCCTTCATTTGGTTTTCGTTTTTTTTGTTTTTTTTTTTTAGCTGAGATCTTCATTATTACAACACACACATTTTTTATTGTTATTTTTCAAGCCCTTTCATATTTTTACTTTTTGAATTTTTTCCCCGCTTTTTGCTTCTTATTTACTTTTCCTTTTTGTCCTTCCAGAGAACGAATCTTGTTTCATCGCTTCACTCTCTTAAATTTTTACTGTAGCATTCCGAGTACTTTCTCTTGCGATTGTTGTTGTTGTTGTTGTTCTACGTTGCGAAACATCGTCTCTGCTACTAGAGAACCACTCCACGCCAACTCCCCTATCTCCTCATTCTCCCCCCCAACGTCCGCATTACTTCCAGACATCCACTTCCATCTGAAATTTCCATTCTCTGTCCCTTGCTTCCACTACTCCTGAGCTCACCACCCTACCTAACTTCAAACTCAACCACCGTTCGCGCACGCACGCATATATGCCGGCACGCACGCGTGCACCGATTAGTTTAGTTGTCTGCCTATGTTATATCCCACAGTCTTTCCTAATAACTGTAATATTACGGCAAGCCTCCAAACCGAAGATTCTGAACATATTAATTTTTGAATGAGACGACAGCCTCCTTCATTTATAATCCCCTTTTTCTTTTCAAATTTTAACTTTTCTTTCTTTCTTTCTTTTTTTCTTTCTTTCTTTCTTTCTTTCTTTCTTTCTTTCTTTCTTTCTTTCTTTCTTTTTGCTCAGCCTTGATTTCTTCTTTCCTTATTTTTCCTTAATCTCCTTTTTTCTTTCCTTTATTTCTTTTCCCATCACTTGTAACATTTTCTTCATCTCTTTCTTTCTTTCTTTCTTTCTTTCTTTATTTATTTATTTATTTATTTATTTATTTATTTATCTTTCTCTCCTTTTTTACATAGCCTTCTTTGCTTTCAACATTTCCTCAATCTCCTTTTTTCCCTTCCTTCCCTTTCCCATCACTTCTAATATTTCTTTCTTTCTTTCTTTTTTTCTTTCTTTCTTTCTTTCTTTATTTGCAACTCTCTCTCTTCAGTTTTAATTTCTTTTAATTCTCATTTTTCTTTGTAACTGCATGATTCTATCTCTTCTTCCTCTTGCTTTTCTTCTCTAACTTCTAACTTTTCTCTTTCCAAACTTCCCCAACTTTCTTCTTTCTTAATTTCCTTTTATCCTCCTTTCTTTCTTCTTCCATCACTTCTAACAATTCTTTTTCTTTCTTTATTTCTTTCTTTCTTCTAAATTTCCTATTTATTCAAATGTTTTTTCTTTAATTTCTTTTCTGTCTCTTTCTTTTGTTTTTTGCATTTTCTATACATTTAACTTTTTTGTTATCTTTCCTCTTTTTTCTCTCAATTTTCTTCTCTTCTTTCTCTTTTGACTCTTATTCCTTCCCCTCCTTATTTTTTCTTCCATTCTCTTCTTTTTGGTTTCTTTTTTTCTTTCTTTTATTTCAATGTCGGCTCCATTTCATGTCTTATAGTCTTCATCTGCTTTCTCCCAATTTCCTCTATTTCCAGTATTTCTTTCATTCTTGCCTCCTTCTGTTCTTCAACTTCTAATAGATATTCCTACCTTCTCCATTACATACAAAACTATTCCTACACAATCATGACATAAGCATAGACAAGTTTTTAAAGATGTCCAGCTCTTAGACAATAATTGTTATTAAATTCCTCGATAGCCACAAAATGACTGACGAGAGTAATCGTTTCCAATTATTTCATTACTCAGGAAAGAATCGTTCTAAATAAAGACACAAATTTTCTATCATTTGTAAAAGAGGCAGGATCTTGTTAGATGTCAATGACATTGGATTAAAAGAGACGACCAACATATATGGAGTTGTGGGGCAAGGTGGGCAGTACTGGATGAGGTTACATTTGTTCAAGTAGGAAAGCCAGTAAGTAGTTGAAGCTTATAAAGTAAAAGTCAAGAATCAAATCAAATTTCAATTTGCTAGATAGTGAAAGTGAAAGTAAAAGAATGGCTGGAGAAATTTCAGTACTGTTAAAGAATCATCATCATCATCATTACCGGATGTGGTTGCAGGGTCACTGAGCATTTTGATCAGTTCCCTTCACATCTGGGTTGAAAGCTGTATAGTGTACTTGGGGCATTTTGACCTGGTGAAGTCCATCTCTCTCCAGATTAAACCACAATTGACGACCTCCAACTTGAAGGTTGACCTTGTTCATGGATATGTGGTTGTTGATTCTATCAGGGAACCCTCTGCCACTTATTTCATTGTATGACACCCTCTGACCAATAGGCTGCATCCATAGCTGAAGAGGTCAGCCAGCCCCATTGTATTGGATTGCTGTTGACCCACTTTTCACAGGGCTTGTTTTTTAATCCTACTGGGTTTTTAGCCACCCTTCTCATCAGAAAAAATCCTGGTAGGGAAATTGCAATGGGAAACTGGATTCTCTAGATTTGGATGGTAACCAACCTAAAAGAAGGAAATGTTAAATAATAGTTGAGCAGACTATTAATTTTTAGAGAAGTGTATTTCTGCTCTGACTTCCTCAGTTTGACCTTTGAGGTCAGATACAAGACAAAATAAAGGAAGTTGATTTTGATTGGATGAACGAGCATGAGAACAATAGATAGAGAAAAAGTTTGCAGGGAGTTGAGTCTTAACTGTCAAACAATATAGATGAATTGCTTTTGTGACTGCAACATCTCCCAGTAGAGTGAGAGAGTGACCCCACTGGTTAAATAAAAGATGTATACATCAATGTGAATAAAATAGTGAGTTTAAAATTCCCTTTTATCTCTGAACCAAAACAACTAGTGATCACCAGTGGTGAAAGACGAATGCAACATATGAGTGAATGCCATCACCCAAGATCACCCCAACAAGGGGGATATGCAGCAGAAAACTCTGAATTCCAAATCAAGGAAATTGCAATGAGAAATTAGACTTTCAAGTCTTTGGTAACAAAGAGACTAAGAGATACAAAATTCTGAATTCCTAAACTACTCCACTACCTTTCCCAAGAATGTATAACAATTTGCATACACTCCAAATATTCCTTTTCTTTAGAAAAGGAATCTGTGGAGAGTCACAAACACTTACATCTTGAAGGGACATAGCATTTTAAAAAATTATACAAATTCAATGAATGAGATTATTTGGTCACTGAGTGTAAGTAAGGTTTGCCTCAAATTCATTCTGTTTCTTTCTATCACAGAACACAATAAAACCAGCTATGCTCCCAAAATTAATGCTGGCGTGACAGCACACAAACCAGTAGAGTGAAAACAGCCACTCTAATTCTTCTCTGGATTTTGCTGTAGGGTGTCTTCTGTTTGAAAACCAACATGGATTAATCTGGCAAGTCTATAAATGCACCAACGAATTGTTTGGGAAATGATTAGTTTTTGATCAGGGAATCTTTAAGATGGCTTTCTTCATTCTGTTCTTTCAAGTGAACCAGTCTCATGGCAAGGAGATATTAAAAGGAAGAGATTTCTTTTGTATTAATGAACAATCTCTGCCCAACATGCCTGCAGCTATCTAAAAGGTTATTAATTGCTGCAAAGTACCAGAGATTGCAAATACTGACTATTGTCTTTTTAAAGACAGGTAGTAACTGGCAAAGTTGATGAAAGTTGGGCACCCAACCTTTCTTCTCTGATTTTGTCTTTGTCTAAAAACCCCTTGGCCACTAAGAAATGATGGCTGAATTCTTGTGGGGAGTGTGAAGGAAATGATTTGTTTATGATGATCATGGCCATTAGAAAGGGAAATGTCAGGAAAGAAGGAATGGGTATGTACCTACAATTTGCTTCTTTACTTTTCTTTGAGAATTATAGATTTTACTACGATCACCAAAGTTAAGCAACATTTAATATGGTCATTACTGAGATGTGATCGCTTGGGAATACTAGGTGTTGTAAGTTTGGATGTGGTAGTGGGATAATGACTTGGAAGCAAAGTTCTAATTCATGTTAGGTTTGTTATATTCACTTATGTGCAAATACTGATAGGAAGTCCACCTCTTTTCTCCCCACCTATGGGTTAATTGGTAAGACTTGCAGTAACCAGTCTAAAAGAAGTAAAACTTTGAATTCCAAATCAAAGAAATTGCAATGGGAAAGTGGATTCTCTAACCTAAACTATTATTGTCTTCAATCTTATTATCTTACAAAAATCTAAAAATATTTTCTGCGAAGGGATGATAAGCTGTGGAAAATGAATTAACCAATAGATTTTACAAGTAAGAAGCAAGCTAATCATAGTTACAAATCTATGTTTTCCTTTTACTTGTGATTTTGTTTTTTTCACAATGGTATTCACCCTGTACAAGACCCAAGAGCCACTCGAGGTAGAGGGTTACAAAGTAAGAGGTAAAGTTTATGGAGAAGATAATGGTTAACCCTAGACTTGAACAAGTTATGATTGCAGTGATCAGGGAAGCATCCTCTTGGGAGTTGGTTCCACAAATCAATGGTTTCTGAGAAGAAGCTGCTCCAGTGAAACTTATAAATAGAATATGAAGGGAATGATGGTGGTTCGTTACAATGAGTGTGGCATAGCGGGTCTTAGCTGTGAAAGTTAGAACTGGTGGAACTAAAGAATATAGTTTGTCTGAATACTTTCCATGGGAATAGTGATAGAGTCTGTGAGAAATGGGTTGTTGGGTGGAAAAAAGTTCAAAAGCAATAAGATTTTTTCAAAAGAAATTACCAAGTGTGATTGCATTCTAATGTTTTTTTGGTCATTTTCAATCATTCGATTATATATTCACAAATTCATTCCTTGCTTCAGTATAATATTAAATCATTCCTAGAGTAATGGGTCAATAATAATAATTTCAAAAGTTTAATGCAAACTGCATGCATATGGAGTATTTTTCATTATCCGATAAGGGGGATCATTTTATTACTTAATGACAAAAGAAAACAGATCTCCTACTTTATGTCCAAGAGAAACTTATATTAATATTAAATCGAAATATATCTTGAAAATTTTCCCAACATCGGTTGGTTAACACCAATTTTATTTTGAAAACATTGACTTACATAATAAAATCTGACATTGTGCATAATTCATTCTTTACCAGATACTAAAGCAAAGTATAGCAAAAGCAAAATCAAAGTAAACATTTTTTCCATCTATTTTGTTTGAGGCCAAAATCTAATTTCTTGAGGTGTGCAGACTCTTGCCGCTATCTGAACTTGTTTATCCAGTAAATAATATAAAAGTTGTTTTCCATACATGAATGAAAAAAAAGATTGAATAAAGAATTTCCTGGGAACAGTAAGATATATAATAGCAATAATTAGTCATTAAAGGACATCTTAAAGATCAATTAAGGAGTCGGGTTAACAAATAAATAAATATTCAGTTTCATTAGAAGTTTAAAATGTGTGAGTAAATAAGATAAAAAAGGAATATGGCATGTTTTTCCTTTAGTGTAATGACACAATAATAATAATTTCAAAGGTTTACTATGGGCAAATGGCATGCATATGGAAAGATAAATAATTGATTAGATACACAAAAATAAAAATAGAAAACAAAAATATACTCTAACCCCATTTAGTAACTCTCTACTTTGAGTGGCTCTTGAGCCTTGTATTTAGCAAACAATAGTAAGCATTCTATTAGATTGGCAACTAGATCCCACCATTTTACTGTTGCTAAATGCAACCACCAACATTTTCATTTCTTGCACTTTCCACCTGTGGAACTTCCTTTTGTTTTTTGCTATCATAATATGCACCTACAACTACAATCATCAAAAATTTCAATACAATGTCAATCACCATCTTCTGCATTCTTGAACCCTGTTCATTTTTTCTCCTTTCCTCAATCCTTCCAATTCTCAGTCTTCTCATTCTCTTTCACTTTCAGTTCCTATAAACCACTACATACTAGTGGCTTTACTACCTTGCTTGGGGTGAAATGATTAAAATAAAATATTTTAAAGCATTAACTTTTCACAATTTAAGTTTGGCCCATTTTTTGACCCAGGGTAGTAAAAGAAAGCAAAAGGACTAACAATCAATTTCAAGAAGACAGAAAGTATG